AGGACACACCGATGTCTGGTCTTATGAAAACAACATCAAGATCCGAGAGTTCGAATTCGTATATTAACATATACAAATCATATTGGTATGATTTGGTTCAGTTCCTTAATAATTATGACATTGCTATAGAGAAACAAAGATATAGACAAGCTGTGCATGAAACAATAACGCAGACAACTTATCCAAAATTGTTTACTCCGTTGCGTTTAGAAAGTCACGCATCGAGTATATACAGTCGCAATGTCTTCTTTGACATCCAAAAGGAAATAAATAAGGCAGTATGGTTCTGTGGTATAGAGACGATTGAATGTCGGGGTGATCTCAAGACGTTTATCATAAGCYAYAAGAACAAGAAATCATCTGTCAGCWCCACGTATCGGGTAACATATTCCTTACATAGAAGCTAMTGTTTTTAAAATTTTCTCGTTAAACGTCACATATTTGTTTTATCGAAAGCAAATGTATTTATTGTAGGTGTTCCGTAATTACTCAGTCAACACGGTCGAATGCGAGTGCAATCTATTCACGCGTAACGGGTATCTGTGTCGTCATTTATTTAAGGTTCTAATAAACGATAAAGTTGACAATATTCCGAACCAATACATTTTACGTCGATGGAAACAAAAATTAGTTTCTGTCCAGTTACAATCCGCTAGAGTTCGATACGGTGAGGTGGATGCGGAGAAGGATAATTACATAATTGATGTATATTCCAAAGTYGACGACATAATAARCATCGCCCGGAATGATAAATCCCTATTKTCTAGGTTGGAGCAGACGCTCGACAAATTYATGGTTGATATCGAAAAACAAGTACCATATGAAGACCCATCGCAACGAAAGCTGGATGCTATCAGAGATCATCTTGGTGTTTCCATACCGGACGACGTGGACATTCTACCACCATCTGGAATAAGGAACAAGGGTTGTGGTACTGGTAATAGGTTGGTAAGTATGTCTGAGAAAATACAGTCTGCAAGCAAAAAACCACGGCGAAAATGTGCGAACTGTGGCCAACGTACCGGACATGACTCACGCAATTGCCCCGAATTGAAAGAGTAGTCAGTATTCCAACTCCTTGAAATGTTATCGTTTCGTTGTGTTTCGCCGAACCAATCTTACATTGCGTCATGCGTCAATTTTGGATTATGTCTTATTACGATTGGAGGATTATTGATAATAAAACTGTTGTTTTTTGCTTTTAAATAATTTGATTTGTTTCTAAATTAGTTCATAAGTTGATTGTTAACTCGGTTGATGACAGATATCTTGTTTACGAATTGTATGCCTTTCTTGAGTATGATTCATGTTAGTATGTATCATTGAGGTAATAAGTTTGAACTTATGATGTATCCGGTCAATTAACCATTTATTGATTCTTATATTTTTCACATTGTTCATAACTATTTTAAATGAATTATTTGAAACAATTTCATCATATCAGATAATATCATGAAAAAAATTCATTAAAATAAACAATGAAATCGACAATTTTYAYGATTATACAAATACCTTTTACATTTTATGTCACTCTTTTGTAAGACTCGCAGAAGCTCTCACAATCTTACAACTCCTAACGCTCATACATTCACTCTCTCTTCATTTATACATATTCAAGGGAGCTTTCAAAAAATAACCGACGATTTCAAACACAAGTTTCTATAATACACTCTATTTGCAGTCTTTCTCGATACTGCATATTTTCTTGATTTTCAAAATCAAAGAAAGACTATGATGCCATGTATACAACACAAGTATTATCCGTACTCCGGTAAGCGTTTGTGATACGTCCAACTAGCATCCACATTATGGTGCGGATTCATAGCTACAAGTTGAGTTCGTTTTTCAGGTATTCAAATCTTCTGTAATCAAGTGTTCATACAGTGTCACTACAACAAAATCGGGTTTATAGGACACTCTCAAATTCTAATAGACCTTTTTATAGGACTTAGTTTATAGGACCAAAAAAATAAAGTAAACTATCTAAAGGTGTTGTAATAAGTTTATATGATTCTTTTGGACGTCTTAACAAGTTTTTTAGAACATTTTTAATTCAAAGTGTCGCATTAGCAACTTTATAGGACACTTTTGAGAAAATGTCCTATAAACTCAGTTTTTTATAGGACACTTGTTTTTATATGACACTTTTTCAAATAGTGTCCTATAAAGTTGATAATTGGACACTTTATATTAAAAGTGTCCTAAAAAGCTTATTACGACGTCAAAAAACGTCATATAAACTTATTACAACACCTTTAGATAGGACACTTTATTTTTTTTGGTCCTATAAACTAAGTCCTATAAAGAGGTCTATGAGGACACTTAGAATTTGAGGGTGACCTATAAACCCGATTTTGTTGTAGTGTGTGTTTCTACCTTCAAAGAACAATATAATGGTTTGTCTCGTTGAGTTCACTCAACAAAGAGGATTAGCCCGGTTTTTGAGTGAATCTCTCTTCAAACGCTTTGTATTTCTCTCCCCTATTCCTTTTTCTTACACCATAACTTGGGTGTAAGTGAAGGGTGAGCGATTAAGCCAACCGTGCATGTGGTAATTGCTTTTACCGTATTATCAACTCCATTATTCACTTCACTTGTTGATATTTCATTTAAATATTTTTTTTGACAAATTAACACATGTTGTTTCACTTAAATGAGTTGACCTTATATAGAAGACAACATAAACAAAAAGAAGTAAAGAGTTGTAGAATGTTGCAGCTTACTGCAACAACTGGTACATCATATCTACATAGAAAGAAGGATAAGTCTAGTACCAAACTCATATTTGTACTAATTATTGATACAATAAGGGTACTGCTAGCAAGTGTCTAAGTGCACTTTGAAAGAAGGTTGTTCAATCCAGTAATATGATGTTGAGAACTATGGCTGCAACAAACCTTAAAGTTGTTGTAGGTAAGGTTCTGCTGCACTTGCGTTGAAATCTCAACCGGATCTTACACTCATGCTTTCTTTTCTTACTCGTTATATCATTGTAGTTATTAAAGAATCCCACCAAAACTATTTGCTTCGAATTCACCCTCTGAAATCCTCTTCTAAGGCTGACTTTCTCACCCTTTGATTGTAATTGTCTATGTGGAACGATATTTGGTAAATACTTATCATCATTACTTGTTTTAAACGATATTAGTGAACTATGTATACTTACATGATTTGCCATTTATTGTAGCCTATTTCGTGTTATACTTACTACCCACCATGCCACTCACGAGAGATGGGCCAATACTATTTTCTTTTTGAATTTTTAAAGGGTCTGCAAGTCAAAAAAGTGAACTTTTTTTTTTTGTCTTTTAGTGACCTCCACAAGTCACGGAGGTGTCACTTGCAGAGGTAGTGACTTATCGATGATCCACGGAGATAAATGACTAAGAGTTGAACTCGGTCCTGAAAATGACTACTTTAATGGGTTGGACCCTTGTCCTTATCTAAATAATGTTTTAAAAAAGATTTCTAACGATTAGGTAAATTGACTGATTTACCCATGTGTCAACGGGTTTGATTTAAAGGTAGTGTTAGGGACCGGATTGGAACAAAATGCAAACCACGAGGACGTTGGATGTACTTATTTTGAAAGAGGGACTATATCCAGATTCTGAGCAAACCAAACCAACGGTGTGATATATCATCCGAGAATGGCTCCAAAACCTCATGATCCTCCTCTCCCTTCGCAAAGTTTCTTTGAAAGCACAAAAATAGAAAGAGTTGAATAAAAGACTCTAGGTTTCTAAATATAGTAAGTAACACCATCTATCTCTCTCTTTGCTTTTCCCTTTCTCAATCACCCTAAAAAACCACATTTTGAGCCCCTTCATGTTATGTTTCCCACAAAAGCAGGCTGACCCTCTTTCACCATCCTTCTGTTATTCATTTCCCACAATCAGATCTCTCCCATTTCAACCTTCCTGATTCAGCCAAAAGGGAGAGAATCTTGATTTCTTTTCTTCTCTTCTCCTGCCTTCTTTTTCCCAATGGTGAACTGAAACATCATCACAAAAACCACAAAAAAAAAAGCTGAAAACTTTCATCATCTGAGCCACAAAAGTTGAGCCACCAACAAGCAACAGCCCATCCAATTTGATTGCTTTCCCAAAAAGTATGCATCACCTGCTAAACCTTCTGATTTATGCATGCATGCATGCATGTATGTATGTGTGTGTTGTGTGTATATATATATATATATTGATTGATTGATGTCTTGGTGGTGGGTATTTGCTAGCTTCTTTTGGATTTACGTTATATAGATATATATATATATATGGCTGATTGAAGGTAAGTGGATATTCAGGACACAATGTTTGGTTTTCAAATAAGAACTCGTAATACTGTTGCAACTTCTCAAAGAACACCACCAAAAGATCCGGGGTCTCCAGGCTCGTCGCCGAATGCAGCAGCGGTTGGAGAGATCGATACAAAAGCACCTTTCCAATCCGTTAAGGCCGCTGTTAATTTATTCGGAGAAGCATCACCAAAATCAGGAAAGCCCGTCCTCCGGAAATCTAGAAGTAAATCGGGTGATGAGGTAGGATTCTTTGTTCAATTCTTGTTACTCGGTTTTCGCTCTCTTTTAGAATGCAAGACCATTAAGCAAATTCTATGACAAAGTTGATCTGTTAGACACATCTGAAAAATCGTCTTATTAGTGTCGTAAATCATTCTGTTAGTCTTTTAGACACGTCTAAAACGTGTCGTGATTATAGAACGATTTATTTTCGTGTCCAATTTGGTCGATAGGAATCGTTAGTTTATCTTTTGATAGATATGACACACAGTTGTTGGTAACAAGAATCTGTATGTTGGTGTTGAACTTGTGATGACAGAGGGTGTTGGAGAAGGAGACACAGCTACATTGGACCCTTAAGGAACTGGACAAGTATAAGGAGCTTCTGAAAAATGCGGAAAGTACAAAAGCGCAAGCACGTCGTGAGTTAGAAAAGGCAAACGAGACGTTGCATGAGTTAACAAACAAGCTCGAGATGATAAGTGAAGGAAAACAAGCAGCGATTGAAAAGACAGAGGCTGCAAAAGCTCGAGCTCTAGAACTAGAATTGTTAAGATCCAGCAACAAAAGCGAAGTGATCAGTAACGATGGTTGGAAAGATGATGTTGACAACGAACGAATGCAGTATAAAACATCCGCTAACGAACTTATTTCGATCAAGCAAGAGCTCACTAACCTTAAACAAGATTTCGATGCCGCCTTAGAAGCTAAGTTGGCTGCTTTTCAACAGGCTGCAGATGCCCAACATGCTGCAAAAGTCAACCATGAGAAAATGGTTGAACTCGCCAAAGAAGTCGAGAACATGCGTGAAACCCTTCATCGGGTGAAACTTGCTTCCGAGAAAGCTCATGAAGAGCATTTGAATGTTATTGACGAAAAAGAAGCCCGAATACAGCCAATCAGAAAAGCTAAAGAAGAGATTGACTTAAAAATTCAGTCTTTGAGAAAAGGAAGTGAAGTATCAGAACTTAGAAGTTTAGGACAAAAACTTGAAGAAACAACCGAAGCCATTAATGTGTTAGAAGAACAGTTAACGGAGGTGCGAGCTGCAGATATGCAGACTTTAGAAAACGCCAAATTAGAGGTCGAAGAAGCCAAAAGGCGATTTGAAGATATAAAAGAAGAAGAAGCTTCACTTGCAGCCGTGGTGGAAACACTGAAGCAAGAGCTCGAGAATGTGAAGCAGGATATATCTTTGTTGAAGGGAGATGACGCAAAGAGGGAGCAACAGCAAGTCGAATTAGACAAACTTAAACAGGAAATCGAAGAGGCAACGACAGAATTAACAAAAGCGACAAATAGTATCAAGGAACTAGAACTAAAGATAAAAGAGACGATTTCTGAAGCAGAAAAGGCGAAAAAAGAAGAAGAAGAGCTCAAAAAACAAGCAGATACCCTTGCGAGACAAGCTGAACATTCTGAGGCTGCCAACAAAGAAGCAGAAGAAAAGCTAGAGACTGCTCTGAGAGAGCTCGAAAAGGCAAAAGCAGCAGAACAGCTAGCAAACGATCAAATACGTAAAAGGACTTCAAAGAATTCTGGGTCTGCTACGGATTCAGCTAACGATAACAAGATCAGGCTAACGAATCAAGAGTATGAAGCTTTGAGCAAGAAAGCCGAAGAAGCAGGAAAAGCAGCTGATGCAAAAGTGGCAACTGCTATGGCTCAGGTGGAAACCATTAAGAAAAAAGAGCGACAAACTCTCATGAAGCTGGAAAAGAGTATGGAAGAAACTAAAGAAATAGAAGCTGCACTTTGTGACGCTTTAAAGATGGCTGAGATGGCGGAGGCAGCAAAACAGGCAATAGAAAGTGAACTCAGAAAGTGGAGATACAAGGAACAGAATGATGGTGTTGCATAGGCTTTTTTCTTGAAACTAGAAAAATGACAAATCACACCTATCTGAATGTTGAACTTTAAATGCTCAGGAAATGAATGACAGATCTTCTATGTACAACAAAAAGTGGTACAATAGGATGATACAGATCTTTATTATGATGGGTGCAAAAGCATATATATATATATATATATATATATATATATATGTAAATGTACAATCACATGGCAATTCCATGATTTCGTTGTTGTTTTTCATCATGTGCTGGGGGTAGAAGTTAAGAACCAGAAAACACATCAAATTACAAGGCCAAACATACGGCTTTATGATCATTACAGCTATGTTAGCACATTCTAATCACTGATTTTAATATCATGTACACGACTGGTAAGACCATCTTGGCTTTGAAACTTTTTCCATTCAGATTCCAAGGTTCTGCACAACTCTGCCTTTTTCGGGTCTGCCAAGGGCACTTCCACGTGTACCGACCCTTGCTTCAGTGGTTTTGTAGGTTCACGAGTCCCAGATTGCTTCTTGATGTATCTGTATAGTTCTTGATGAAAAGGATGGTCAAACGAGAAGCAATCTACAGTTGTATCATCAGAACGGCGCGACGAGCCACGACAAAAATGAGGCAGGGAAGAATAGTCCATTATCTACACGCACGATTATATAGAAGCAAATGTTATATTTGATTTCAAGAAACAAATTTAACATACAGAAATTAACACGGGCAATGGGGTTTACGCCTGTTTTTTTAAGCTTTAGACATTTGCCAATAGTGAAACTGTTTCCTAACATCCAAGAAAGTCCAGAGTGCAACATCTCATTCTATTTGGATGGAGAGATCACTACAACAAAATCAGCTTTATGAAAGATGTCTAAATGTTCTAATACACTGTTTTATAGGACCAAACAATCATGCGTCTTTGTATAAAGGTGTTACAATAGGATGTTAGAACATATTTGGACAGGAGACTTGTCGTTACAATACCCTTTTTCAAATAATGTCATATAAAAAGACTAAACGGAGATTATATTTCAAAATCGTCCTAAAATAGTTGTTAGGACGCACAATTGTGTGGTTTTTATAAACTGAAGCCCTATTAAGTAGTCTATTTGGACACTTGGACATAATATGGAGTCCTATAAAACCGGTTTTGTTGTAGGGATAACAGAAAAGGAAAACGCAAAAACAACTCACCTTCAACAGTTCATCACGGCCACATCCTTGCAAGACGTGAACTTTTAACTTCGTCCGCTCCTGCAAAAGGGGTTTTACAACCTGCAAATATTTGAAAAACATTATTCACAGACCATAGTTTTGATGAATCTTGTAAGTCATGGCCAAAATGGTATGGAGCTTACCTTCCAACAAGCCGAGAATATGTATGGAACATTGACTATATAATATGTGACCGTCTTCTCCGGATAGTTGAGGTCATCAATAGTAGAGATAGCTGTGAGCAGCTGCAGCCATGGAATTCAGATGATATTTAACTTTATGCTACTCCACTTCAAGCGTAGAATAGTAAATGCAGAATGCAAAGGGATACCATCAAATACAACGAGAGGCGAATAATGATACGAGCAATCAATTAGGTTCGCATTTGTGATTGTTGACAGAAAGGGTCTATGAAATGTCGAACTTGAGAACTCATGTATGTTATGCAAGGTCAACCTCATGGTAAAACTGTTTATATTCCGTGCATGTACCTTTATCTGGTTCAATGCAGAAAGTTTCAGGCCGCTCATATCTAAAACCTTCACGCACTTGCCGATATATCTTCCATATTTTTTTGTTGCAGCAGGCTACAATAAATTGAACGTGTAAGCACAGTATCTTACGAGCCAACGAACATAAAACCTAAGGCATGACATGTTATCCTCACCAATATTACACGATCTCGATATTCATTAATTTGAATATGTGATTGCACATAGTAGTGGACCTGCAATGAATAAAAAAAATTATATAACAAGTTAAACATATTAAGCCATCCAAACATAACTAGTTTATCGGCCAACTTAGCCAACATGTCCTTTAAGTCATTTTATATTATCATCTAGCTTATTAGCTAGTTTTTACCAAACATGACTAGTTTATCGGCCAACTTAGCCAATATCTAGCATTTTAGCTATCAACTAGTTTTTCTGCCAACAACTAGCTTATCGGCTACTTCGCCAAACACAGACTTAAGTGCCATTTTATGTAGCGGCGAAGGATCGTGTGAGAAGGGAAGTTATGGTGAGAAGCGTAAGAAGAGATCTGAACCCTTGATCACTTTTAATGCCCAACCATGAATTGCGCTTTAGAAGGGAATTGATCCGGTGCATCTTGGTGAACCTCATTAGTGTTGACATTCAATTAGGATTGATCCAAGGGTCTTCTTACGCTTCTCACCATAACTTCCCTTCTCACAGAAACCCAACCCTTTATGTAGCTAACAATCTATAGCACTTGTAGAATTGTGAAAAAGGGAGCAAGAAAGGAACACCAGAATTACTATATTAAAGTCTTACAGATGCTTTGTCGTACGTGCTGAGACCTACACCAATAGCAAATACCGGAAGGCCCTGTCATGAACACCATGAGTACATATGAGTGAAAGTCGTATGAAGATTTTAACAGGATTTTTAGGTATATAACCTTAAATGAGATTCTAATCAAATCCATGAAGAAAAGGAACATCAAATACGCACCTCTCTTGTATAACCAGACACTCCTATCAGCTGAGAATCACGCACTCCTCGGTAAAAACTAGCAGGAGCTATGGGTTTCTGCATAAAAAACTTGCAAGTGATTAAACCCCTTTCTAATGAAACTCATTTAAACTACAAAATACTGATGATTCAGAAAGGGGATCGATCTTTTGGAAAGGAAGACAGGAAGTTACAGTATCCCTTTATACAATCAATGCAGAAGAAGGCATCTAAAGAGGAAGGCTCCTTGTATAGTGATTTGGTAATTTTGAACCAAACTACAAATTGAGGTATTTTATTTTGGAAAAGACACTTACAGATAATATGTCATCGATACCATTCTGCAGCCTCCAGTGTAAGCTATCTACCAACTGTAAATTCATGCCAGTTTCTCCCATCAATTTTGAAAGAAAAAGAAAGGTGTTTAATTGTAACTGAAAACAAACATATAATCAAAAGGGCGTAGACGGAACCATCTTGTGGGCTCTGGCGACAACCCCGTCTCTAGCTTTCAAAAATCGCTCCAAAGTTTCGACTTTATATCCCCGATGAACATTCTGTAGACAAAGAAGGCAATCTTTGGTTAGCAATTTTCTAAAACAAGATAAAATATATCATATAAGGCAAGGTATCTTCACTCTAGGCAAGTTAAAACAAACACCATCCAGCAGTAGACTAGACGATCAATTCCACTAACATACCAACAGGGTTTTTATTGATGCAACGGGTGAGTCCTATAATCAGAGAAAGATCACACACCAAAACAAGAATCGAGACTTAATTTATGATTTAGAAGGTAGCAAGTCTTTTTGTATACATGAACCGAATTTATCTTTAGAAAATCCTAAATTTTCAATCAAGATAGAACATCTACATGTCAAAAGACCAAAGGAGACTTGTGAACGGACTTAGTAGAGTTCACGACCYTTGCCACTATGACTCCAAGCAAGTTTACGAGGTCAGTTAGCAGTGTCGGCCCATTTCTGTCTACGACTTGTTTTTTATTTCATGACTCTGCTCACCCAGCTGGTACTATCTTGCACATTCCACTACTGGAGTTGAACACTTTGTTTCAATATATGTTGGAACCTCATTCTCTCCTAACGGCTCTTTTAGAGAGTAATCCTTGTACATATTTTCAGAACCAACGTCTACCATCAGGGACATCTTTGCCCGAGACTAACATATTTGCCCATCTACCCTCCATTGAAGGACTTGTTAGAGTCCCGGTCAGCTTACACTTGATCACTTTCGGTTCAATATATGTTGGAAGGCGAAGGATCGTGTGAGAAAGGAAGTTATGTTAAGAATCGTATCCCTTGATCACTTTTAATCTCATGTCCACACATGAATTGCACTTACAAGGAATTAATCCAGTACATCACCGCATTAGTGTTAGACATTCAATTAGGATTGATCCAAGGGTGGAGAGATCTCTTTCTTACGCTTCTCACCATAACTTCTGATCTTACTGAAACCAACCCCTATGTTGGAAACCCCATGTTCCACATATTCGCAAAAAGACAACGACATAAGAGATCATAAGTTGCATATACACATTTACAAGAAAAAAAGGATCCACATTCACTCAAGTTGAAAACGAGTTCATGAATAGCTGCAGAATCAAATACGACTGAAAACAGCATGAGATTACACCAGAATTGGATGTAAAAGTGTAGGATGAAAGATAATTAACCTGAAATGTTCTTTTCAGAGGCTCATCAACTGCATATATTTCCCCCAGAAAAGGTCATAAATTAGTAAATCATAAGACTGGAAACAATCAATTCAAAGGAGGGATTCTATTACGCACTACCTTGGTCCATCAAGACCTTGAACTGATTGATTGCTTCGTGTGAAACAACACCCATTAGTTAGCTTAATTATGGTTGTTCCAAACCAAGAGAAGCGTATCAGATGGTTTTGCGAAGAAAACTCACAAATTGACTTCAAAGATTGAGACCTTTTTGAAGTTCATAAGGTTTTTATAGGTCTTCTCTCCCTCTCTCTGAATTTTAGTGAATGAAAGAGACAGATTCCATTGCTTTATTAGTAGCAGGTGGCATGGCAAGACCCACAGAGAAGTCGGGTCAATAATGGCGGGGTCATAGACCCGTTTTTTAGTAAATGCCGTGTTCTAAAGAGATAGTCATGGTCTTGGCCACGGCCTCCAACGGTTAAGGGTGCATTTGGTGGTGTTCAGACAGCATGGTAGCGAATGGGATAAAACATAACAGAATAAAAACAACAGTTTTGTTAAACGTTTGGTAGATCAGAAGCTGAAGCTGAATAAAACAAAACAAGTCGGATAATCAATTTACCTTTAATGAACTGTTTATATATTTTGATTATTTTATATAATTTATTAAATTATAATAAAATGATTGTTTGTATAACAAAATATATTATTATAAAGTTTTCATCAGAACAATTAAAACAACATCAAAATAAAAAGTTTATGTAGTTTTCAATCTTTATTTTAACCCCATATTATTTTTATTAATAAAAAAAATTAAATTAATAAAAATATAGAAACCGTGTAAAAATAATATATATATTTTTAAATATATTAAAATGAAAGTTTTAAAAATATAAAATACAATAAATAAAATATAAAATGGAGACCTATTTGATGTTTTAGAAGAGATAAAATGCAAGCACGACTTGAGGAGCGATTTTAACTTATTTAACAAGGATATTTGGAACTCCAGTTCTTCGAAAATGGTAAGATCTTTGACGCAAAAAATAGGGTTGCTCTCGTCAATTCCTTTGATTTCATTCTTGCAAACAGTTCCAACAAGATTTCATTCTTGAACTAAAATCCTTTTTTTGATCAAACTTTATTTTGATATCATATTGATAAAATATAAGTTTGTTTAACCTTGTTTTCCCTGTCCATAGGGTAGGGGGTGGAACAAGCCTATTCCATTTTGTTCCACTCAATTCTTGTATGTTCCAAATAAAAGTTCTGCCAAACGTGGAAATAAATCCTTGTTCTTCTCTATTTTGTCTTGTCCAGTGTACCAAACGCATGCTTAATGTTTTTGTCTTACGTCCCGTAAAAGTGGCATGTCCGATGATTTTTGTAACATGATATTTGATTTTGAATAATAATAGAAAACATGTATGTATGAATAATTATATAGATAGACGAAACATCGTGTGAGAATACAAGTTTAGATGAGAAGTGTAAGAAATGATTTGGACCTTTGATCACTTTTAGTTCTAAACCAACCCATGAATTGCGCTCTATAAAGGAATTGATCTGATTCATCCCATTAGTATTGATCTAGGGTTTCTCTTCTATTATGATTGATCCAAGGGTATAAATCCATTCTCACCCTTCTCACCATAACTTTCATTCTGATCGAAACTAAACCCTATATAGATAAGTCGAAGAATCGTGTGAGAATAAGAGTTAAAGTAAGAAGTGTAAGAAAGGATCTGGACCCTTGATCACATTTAATCTCAAATGCACCCACGAATGATGTTTGATATAGGGATTGATCTGGTATTATCTCGGTGCATCTCATCCTAATGTGCATTCAAGGGTGGAGATCATTTCTTACGCTTCTCACCTTAACTCTCCTTCTCACTGAAACCCAACCCATAAAGATAATATACATATTTGTTGTCATAAGCCATGCCTTGAAAATGTCGTGACCTCTCCATGGCTTCTAAACACTTCAGGTTTGACTTCACCACGACATTTAAAATCTTGGTAAAATACCATCCAATTCAGCATCCATCTTCGAAACAAGGGAAAATTCCAAACTCGTAACTTTTGGCAAAAAGAAATCATTAAATAATCATTTTTCAACATCATCATGAAATTGAAAAAGATCATTTCTCAACCGAGTGATTTCTTAACCTGACAGAATCCTTGACTAATTTGCAATCGTTAAAAACCATTTACTTCATGTTTCTTTTTCTTTTTGTCAAAACTGACCAGTTTGACGATGTCTTTTTTCTTGAAGTATATAATACAATTTATATACGACAAATGCAACAAAGAAACCCACCATTGATGAACTTTGAACCCCTAACCTCCTAGGAGGCAAGAAGCTCAAGTACCGCCAGACCAAATCCCCTTTGGTAACACCACCCACGTCCCGTCTAGAACACGCGATCTGTACGCTACAAACCATCTAAACATTCAATTCCATTAGAATTTATGAATGATTTGGTGGATGTTAGTTCCATTGCCACAAAAAAGAACAAATGCAGCCAACATATTCACATGTTGCATTGATCATATTAAGACATAGAATACCAATCTGGCCTAACTTAGGGGAAATGATGTCTTGTACCAAACAGAATATGTCCATAAACAAATTTGGGATGAAACACACAACTTGAAAAATAACCACTTTTTTAATTTATTTAATTAAATGGGATTCTAAAATAGTGCACCAAAAGCAATGGACAAAATGGCATCACTTTAGTTTCATGGGCTATGGGCATAAGATTCCTTTTGGAAAAACAATCAAGTTTTCTAGTAATTGATGGTATATTTTGGGTTTTTTTTAGTTACTTTTGGTAGAAGTGGATGGCCCTCATAACCCAAAGAGTCATTCATGTTATCAAATGCTTTATTTAGCTTTCTTGCAAGCAAAGCTTTTATCTATAAGCACATTAACATAAGCTATAAGATTTTCTAACCTTATTGAAACCAGCTTTTGGGATTGTTTGGTTGGTTTTTCGTTAAGGTGTGTTGGGTTCTGGTTAGAAAGGAAGTTAAGAACTTTGGATCAATCTTAATTAAATGTCAACACTGATGAGGTGCACTGGGATGTTACCGGATTAATTCTCTTCTAAAACGCAATTCATGAATGGGGGGACATGATATTAAAAGTGATCAGGGGTTCAAATCTTTTTTTACGCTTTTCACCATAACTTTCATTCTTGCACGAATAACATTGCAAGACTCACGGGAGCCAAAATTTAAAAGATGAAAAGTTCAATATTTTTAAGAATCGAACCTATAACTTATTGGAACCAAAATATAGAAGATGAAAATTTTAATATTTGCTAGATATATAGAATTGGATCTGTTAACCTGATAATCAGTCGCAATTTAATATAACTATCTAAACCATTTCACCCATATTTGATACCTGTGAGTACCCATCAAAGTTAAGTGGGTGCATGTTCCGACTAAGCAAGAGCACGAGAATCTAGTTGACCCTTAATAAGTCCGCCCGTAAGGTAGTTTATCATTAAGTTTTGAGGGTCTTATACAAAAAAATAATCAATTATATTCCTTATATTTAAGTGGTTAGAATAATTAAGAGGCTCTCATGATTAGGGATGCTCATGGGTTGAGTTGATCGGGTTGAAGACATTTGAACAACTCAACACAATGCTTGCGGTTTGGAAAAATCTTAACTCAACCTAACCCAAACCAAAGTGCAACCCAACCCAACCCGTACGGGTTGGTCGGGTTGATACTTTGGTATATTAAAATATTCTTTTAACCTTGAATATGTTATTTATCTACACATAATTCTTTTTTCATCATCAACCATTTGATACAACTTATTCATATTTCTTACGTATATCACATTCAGTTAATTTTTTCAATTTACATATATATGTTCATAGTTACTGAACATATATATGAATAGATTGAAAATATGTGTATATGAAAAACATACATGATAATACAATTGTCTAATGTATATATTAATAGAAATTCAACAATTATATAAAATCCAAGAAATAAAAGGATATCGAGTTCATCGGTATGGGTTGGGTTCAAATAATAGTAACCCAATATCAACCCAATACCTACGGTTTGAAAATTTTACAACTCGATTAGACATCGGGTTGCTTCGGGTTGGTCGGATTTTTGAGCACCCCTATTCATGATATAGTACAAAATGAAATATAATTGTTTACGATGAAATTAGGAAGCTAAATGGTTAAAGGAGGCTCATGATATAAAATCATTCAGAGAGTTTTAAAATCATTAAGAGACAGACATTTTTTATCAAATAAAATTCACCTCTTAACGATTTAAAAGACTATTTTTTTATAAAGCTATTAAAAATAAACAAACAATCCCTTAACCAGCTTTTAACAAACACTTTTTAAAAAAAGCTATCATAAAAAGGTGTATCTTCTTTCTTGTCAACGTGTGGTTCTCCATCTTTCGAACAAAAGGCAAATGCCATCACCACCGTCCATTTCTATAAATAGACACACCACCAATCTTCATTGTTTTTTACAATTAATTGCAGATTATAATTTTGGGTTTGACCAAATTATCTGCAGGCTACTTGTCCATTCTTGTATATAACATTGCATTTGGTATACTAAACAAGATAAAATAAAATAGAACATAGATTCTTATTTCATGTTTAGTAGGATTTTTTATATAGAACAGACAAAAATAGAGTTAATAGATCTATTCCACCCTTACCTCACCTCATAAAACAAGGTGAAACAGACTTATATTTTACCAAAATGATCTCATAATAAAACTTAATTCTCTTCTAAAACATCAAATAAGTCTCTTTTTTACATTTTATTTATTTTTTAAATTTTATTTATTTATTTTACATTTTTTAAACTTTCATTTTACTATCCTCAAAATATTATTTTTATACGATTTTTATATTTTTATTAATTTGTATAATTTATT